ACATTTTTATCTTATTACCTGAGAAGTTGCTTTTCCATAATCCTCTCTAGCAGCTAAGACTTAGGTGTTATGATCCTATTATCTCCAGGGTTCCGGGTCTGAAGCAGGAGCTTAGTAGCTTTCATTGTCTTTTTTTTTTTTTTTTTTTAATTAATTCACTATACACCATCACAACACACAAATAAATTTTCCATCCAAAATACAATGTGCATTGGTTCAATCAAGCACATCAACATACATGTTCTCAGCAAATAATTTTCCGAGCTTTCCTTGTCTTAAGTAAGGTATCCATGCAACTTGGTTTGCCCAGGCCCCAGACCCAATTTATATCTGGAATCCCATTCAACTAGCTCCTCTGTCCCATTCATTCTCAAAGGAGTCCCATTCCGTACAATAAATTATATAATCCCCTAGCCATAAAGGTACCTAAAGATGTAAAAATATTTCATGTTACAGACTGAATTTTGTCCCCCAAATATATATTCTGAAGTCTTAATTTCCTGTACCTCAAATGTGACTGTTTGGAGATAGGGCCTTTAAAGAGATGACTAAGTTAAAATGAGATGATTAAGTTAAAATGAGATCTTAATTCAATCTGGCTGGTGTCCTTGAAAAATACATACAAAATGACATCAGGGATGTGCATGCATGAAAGAAAGGCCATGAAATGACACACTGATCAGGTTGCCACCTGCAAACCAAGGAGAGGACGCAGAAACCAAACCTACTAGCACCTTGGTCTTAATCTTCCAGCCTCTAAAACCATGAGAAATAAATGTCTGTGGTTCAAGCCACCCTGTCTACAGTAACTTCGAGCAGCCCTAGCAAACACTTCACAAAATATAAAGAACATAAAACCATCCTAAGTACTGCTTTCTAAGTTATTTCAATCCCCCAAGATGAATGCTTACACTGTTTTCTGAGAAACCTGCTGTCTGGTTTTAGATCTTTTGTTTTCCTCAACTGTACAAAAAAGGCTTGTCTCATGTCTTCACAGGACATGCTTAACTTTCATACATTCTGAACCCATAAGATCATTCCCAGATGGAAGACTGAGACATCCCTCTCTCTGGTAGCAAGTGAGATTGTGACAACAAATGTCATGTACAGTTGCAATGAGGAAGGCATAGTTCCTGCCCTCAAGGAACCACACTCTGATCTAGAAACGTCTCATCTCCATGAAGCAAGTGACAGGCAATGTGACTGTTATGAGGGCTCAAAGCAGGGACACTAAACCAGCCTCAAGGAGAGTTTAGAATAGACTCCTGTGTGAGCAGACACCAAATTGATTTTAATGGGTGAACAAGAGCACACCCAGTGAAAGGAAGTGAGGGGATGAGTGTTCCCAACAGAAAACAAACAGTGTAAACAACAATAAAAACAGGATTAAAGTAGAGGTGAAAATGTGTTTCTACTACTTTGCAAACTATCCCCACCCCCTATTTTAAATCCAGTCATTTTCATCCATTCACAGAGCTCATAGAGTAGAGTAGCTATCCCTCAAAGCTCTTTTTTAACCCTTTCACTATCTGAAGGCTTACAAATGACAAATTTGCACTTTCAGACCCTTTCACTATTTGAAGGCTTACAAATAACAAATTTGCACTTTCAGCTCTTCTTTCCTCAGGCTCAGTAACCTCAGTCCTCTCAGGCTATTATCCAAACTTTTAAACCCAGTTCATGTACTGCCACCTACACCAACACCAACACACACACACACACACACACACACACACACACACCAGGAGGGCCTATAGTTCAACCATTGGCTCTTAAAGAGAATATATTGGTACTGTCCTCTTACAAAATACAGATTCAGGTCACATCCATCACATAGCTATGTGAATCATCAAATTCTCAGAGCGTTTTCTTGGCTAGATAGAAACCAAAAGAACCAAAGACTGGTACCAGTAAGTCACTCATTCTGGGGGGTGACTTCATATGCTCAGAGTAGATGTGTTCCCTTCTCCATTACTGACAAGTGAATGAATAATCTTGCTATTTGTGGGTGTTTGGAAACATCAAAGAACTGAAATAAATCAACCCCACTGATATGGGATGCATTTCTACCAGGAAACATACCATTCTTCTAATCCTACACCAGGCATAAATACAACAGACCTTGTTTTCCACACAGATTCCTATTTCTTTCACACCCAAGCATATGTTAAGAGCTCTCAAGCAACACTCCTCCTCCAACTCAGGGAGGTGTCTTAAAACATTTTTAGCTTACCAAACACCAAACAGAGGAAGATCTGTTTCTATACTCAAGGATAATCATCTTCAGCTTCTTATTTATACTGCAAATGGAAACTTATAGATTGAAATAAACATATTTTCATTCTAAAATTAGCATCTACATTGTCATCATTAAAAGGTGTAATGATTGTGTTGGAAAAACCATCATCCAGGAAATTCCATGTTGCTTTACAATGTTCAAACCGAGTGCTCATTAGAATTAGAGGGTGAATAGCTTTAAAGAATTGAGGAAGAATTAGCCAATGAATCACTGGGACCACATATAGGTGGAAAATGTCCACTATGATTGTAAAAGGTTGTGGCTAAATGGTAACGGCTGATGACTTACAAGCAAAAGATTAGTCCCCTTTAAGGACACAAGAAGAAAGGACTGATTAAAAGTCTACAACAGCACTGTATAATACAGTAGCAACTAACCATACATGGCTATCTAAATTGATTACAATAAAATAATAGAAATTCAGTTCTCCAGTTGCACCAGCCACATTTTAAGAGCTCAGCAGTTACATGTGGCTAGTTATCACATTGAGTCACACAGACAGAAAGGTCTATTAGCACAGAAAGTTCCACTGGACAGCACTGGTCTGGAAGGTTGTTTGACCACTGATTTAGCATAAGGTTAAACGTCAGACCTTGAAGAGATGAGGGGTCAGGGAGGAGAGCAGTCCAAATGTAATGCCTGTGCCATGTAACAACCCATGGTAGAAAATAAAACATAGTGGAAAGGGGAAATAAGTCTACTCTTGGAATGAGCTAATGATGTAGTATTTATATTTGTATCATAAGAATTGTATTTATACAAGCAGAGAAATCTGAGCTAAGCTGGAAAGCAATTCAATACTACTATCTGAATATCCCACTACTCCCTTCTAAGCAATCATGAAATACACCAACCTCTCTTTACCTGTGAGTAGTGGATTGGATTTTATTGGTCATCCCTCAAATATTATTCATCCATTGCTCACTTCCTGCCCCAATCTTCTGCTCTCAGAACATTTTTGAACATTTCATATAAATAAATGGAACTCAAAATAGAAAAATGCAGACTCTTCCCATTTTACAAAAAAAGGCAAGAATTTTATTTTAAACAAATCCTTGTGTGTTACACCATGTCCATATCTAAATCAAAAACAATAATGATAATTCAAAGGAAACAGAGGGCTTCATAAAAACATATTATCCAAATATTCCTCTTGGCCAAGGTTTTAACTAAATACACAGTGGATGTGAAAGGTACAGTATGGCACTTAAATAAATAAGAGCAAAGAAAATGAAACATCTTCACAGTCCAAAGCAATAGATTTTTGAACCTTTGGTATATGTCTCAAATTCGTAAACACATGTTAGCCAATAGTGTTTAGTTCTAGGTTTTTTAAGCCAGTGATTGTGTGTGTGTGTGTGTGTGTGTGTGTGTGTGAGTCACACAGACAGAAAGGTCTATTAGCACAGAAAGTTCCACTGGACAGCACTGGTCTGGAAGGTTGTTTGACCACTGATTTAGCATAAGGTTAAACGTCAGACCTTGAAGAGATGAGGGGTCAGGGAGGAGAGCAGTCCAAATGTAATGCCTGTGCCATGTAACAACCCATGGTAGAAAATAAAACATAGTGGAAAGGGGAAATAAGTCTACTCTTGGAATGAGCTAATGATGTAGTATTTATATTTGTATCATAAGAATTGTATTTATACAAGCAGAGAAATCTGAGCTAAGCTGGAAAGCAATTCAATACTACTATCTGAATATCCCACTACTCCCTTCTAAGCAATCATGAAATACACCAACCTCTCTTTACCTGTGAGTAGTGGATTGGATTTTATTGGTCATCCCTCAAATATTATTCATCCATTGCTCACTTCCTGCCCCAATCTTCTGCTCTCAGAACATTTTTGAACATTTCATATAAATAAATGGAACTCAAAATAGAAAAATGCAGACTCTTCCCATTTTACAAAAAAAGGCAAGAATTTTATTTTAAACAAATCCTTGTGTGTTACACCATGTCCATATCTAAATCAAAAACAATAATGATAATTCAAAGGAAACAGAGGGCTTCATAAAAACATATTATCCAAATATTCCTCTTGGCCAAGGTTTTAACTAAATACACAGTGGATGTGAAAGGTACAGTATGGCACTTAAATAAATAAGAGCAAAGAAAATGAAACATCTTCACAGTCCAAAGCAATAGATTTTTGAACCTTTGGTATATGTCTCAAATTCGTAAACACATGTTAGCCAATAGTGTTTAGTTCTAGGTTTTTTAAGCCAGTGATTGTGTGTGTGTGTGTGTGTGTGTGTGTGTGTCAAAAATAATTGATAAAACAATAAATTGGGATTGATATGGGCTGATTAAGGTCTCTGGTGTGAGCACACAGGTAAATTCAAACCATGGCAAAAAGACGTGCAGCTGTATTGCGCAACAAAACTGTGTAAGAAAATCAGTGAAATACACCAGTTCGAAATTCTGTGGCTCAGGTAGACACCCTCAGTATTAACCAAAAGAATATCTTTTTAATGCTATCCAACGTTCATAAGCTGAAAGGCAAAAATATCCCAAAACTCATAACCACATGCCTAACAGTGTAACAACCACCTCGCAGAAGTGTTGCAGTTGCATATTGCTGTTCCATCCCTCCCACCCATCCCCCACCCCTAATCAACAGCACCAGTGCAGTTTGAGTTAGAAAACTGGAAATATTGAGACATTCCTAAGGTTTTCGTAATGACTAAGGGCCAGTCAGATGGGGCTCTAATGCAAACCTCTGTCATGGCCATTCTCCAAAAAGCACCCCATGTAATTCCCTACAGTTTGCAGATTAACCATGTTAGGTCTAATGTAAGGCCAGATTCAGAAAAAAAGCTGGCATGCTATCCTGGATTGAGGAAAAGGGGCATGCTGAGAGGAATGATACATGAAGGATGCCTCAAGGATGTTTGTCCTGCAGCCCAGGATGAAGGAGTGTGCTGAGATAGGTCACAACATTTGTATCAATGAAGTATTCGACTCACACCATTCACCAAAATACAGAGCTCAGAGAGCTAAGTCCTACTCAGTAGCCATGCAAGTCCACTGTCATTAAGGTCAGGCTGGGCCATAAATGGAAAAGGCCCAAAGAAGTCCAGTGTATCCATCTCATCACTCTACCCAATTGTCTCTGTGGAAGCAAGGGTGTGACATCTGACAACAGTTCTACTTCTTCTCTCTTCTTGATGCAAGATCTCTTTGCCAGCTTTATCCTACATCTTAATGGTGAGTGTCACATAAATGAGGGCAGACACTGCTACCCTCGGGCAGTCATCTGCCTTGGGGCTACGTGTGATTTCCCCAGGCCTTCCTCAAACCTGCCTTTTCACACATAGGCAGAGTCACTGGACTGAGTCCTGCCAAAATTGGGGACACTGACCCGGGGCAGATCCTTGTTACGAATCTCATAGACCGACTTCCTCTTGGCCTGGGCCCCTCGCACGGCCAGCTTGATCTTGCGCCATCCCAAGTGGTTGAGTTCAGCCAAGTTGAGCACAACACAGATGCCGCTCACAGCAAACATGAACACTAGAAAGACAGTCTTCTCAGTGGGCCGAGACACATAACATTCCACCTCCTTGATGCAGGGGTAGCGGTTACACTCGTACAACCCTGGGACGCTGAAGCCATACAGAAAGTATTGGCCCACCAGAAACCCAATCTCCAGGGCGTTTCGGAACACCACTTGGATAATGTAGAAGCGGGAAATGCCTTCCTGCCTTCGGAGCTTGGATCTCGCTGCAGTGCGCAGCCCTGAGGAGTGTGGGGTCAGCTCCTTAACCTCTAAACAGTCTGGCTCTGTCTCCTTGCTGGTGTTCTCTGTGTTCTGCAGCACCCCATTGACAATGGCATTTTGCAACTTCTTATCTTCCCGTTTGCCCCCGCCACTGCCCCCACCCCCAGTTCCTCCAGGAACCCCAATGGATTCAGGGGGATCTCTATCCAGGGCTAAGAAGACAGTAGAGTAACGGCGTTCTCGCTGCTTGGCAGACTGGTGCACGGAGTAGGTGATGAAGCAGAGGCTGGGGGTACACACCATTATGATCTGGAAGACCCAATAACGTATGTGGGAGATGGGGAAGGCGCGGTCATAGCAGGCCTGGTTACAGCCGGGCTGCAGGGTGTTGCACACAAACATGGTCTGCTCATCATCGTACACCGTCTCCCCCACAATGGCCACAATGAGGATCCGGAAGATCACCACCACAGTCAACAGGATCCTGAGCAGGGGAAGAGGGAGGGAGAGAGGTTCTCACGGCTGCGTCACTGACTTAGGAAACCCCTGCTCCTCCCTTCCTTGTTCTGGTGTTTGTCAGTCCTTTGACTGGGGAGCTGTCCGTGCCTTGTGGTACTGAACTGGATAGCTGGGAAACCTTTGGTCTTAATTTTCTGCAGGGTACTGGTAGATGGGAACATTTCATAGGACAGGGATTCCAGGTATATACATATCCATACACTGGACATGATCTATTTCCAACAGAATTCTATTTCCAAAAGATTTATTTCTAAATATGGAATGAACAGAGACAAAACACACCTTCACTCTGGAAATGGCAAATGCACACAGAATACCTGTACAGATAGTGCATGTTTCAAGGTCTACACACAGAGTGTGTATTTAACTACTCCACATGGACATATTTTATACTAGACTTAATGCTTTATATAAACAGATATCCATATGCACAAGGATTTACATATAAAGATTGATACAGACATAGATACAAATATAGATATAGACCCACAAAAATGCCAGTTGGGTGTGTGGGTTCCTGACACTGTAGGTTTCAACAGCTAGATCAGTTTAGCTTAATAACTGTTCGTTGAGAAAAGATGCATCTGCTCTGAAGAGCAAATCCATCTCCCTATTTGCCCTTCTCTGTCCAAATGCAATCCTGTCTGCTTTGTAGATTCTATTTAGGGAACCGGATGAAGACTGGCTCTGATTCTGGAGAGTGCAGGGACCAAGAATGAGCGAATAACTCCTTTCCTGATGTGGCAAGAGAGAGGCCCCCCACCCCGCGGTGCTTCGAAGGGATGTGATAGGGGAGCCGGTCAGGAGTCGCTGGAAGAGGGGGATGTCATTGGGCGTCGGGTAATCCCTCAATGCCGGAAACACAGGCTCATGGGCCGAGGACACTGGGGAGGAGGCAGGGGACAGGTTGTGGCTGCAGGGGCTCGGTCCGGACAGGAGCAGGGATTCCCGGGGGGCCGCCCGACGGGGCCCGCGGACCGCCAGCTTGGCGCCCTTACCTCCCGATCATAGTGGAGTGCTGCTGCACCGCGGCTTCCAGCAGCCTCTCCAAGATGGTCCATTCCCCCATCGCTGTGCATTCGGAGGCAGCAGACAAAGACTGGGCAGCACCGGGCACGTTCCCGCTCCTGGCCCCTCCCCGGGCCGCACCTCCCGACTGGGAGCAAATTGCCCCCCAATTAAAGAAGCAAACAAATTTTTTTAAAAATGCACGAATCCCCCCTCCCTTTTATTGTACTTAAAAGAAGGAAATGAGGAAAGAAATCCAAGCGCGTCCCTACTGATGGGGCTGTTGGCGCGGTCTGGAGAGCGGGCACCAACCTCCGGCGCCGTCTGGGGGTCAGGTCTGGATCCCGCGGACGCTGGGACG